ATGAGGTCCTCCTCCTCAAGCTGGGAGTGTGCGGTGTTAGCGGCTCGCTATAGATGTGGATCCGCGAGTATTTCGTTGGACGAAGGGTGAGGTTGTAAGTCGATAGCTACCTGACCGTCTGGTATCCTTCGACCAGTGGCGTACCCCAAGGCACCGTGCTGTGGCTTACATTGTTTCTGAGATGTGCCCTGTTTGCGGATGACCTGAAGACGTGGAGGTATAAGCATGTGCTACAACTGCGGCCTACTTCAGAAAGACCACCACGGTCTTTTCATGGGGTCTGGAGAAGTCCGCCTCACGGTCGACCCCTCCAAGTCGGAAATTCACAAGCCTGGTGTGAGGGTGTAACCTACACTCTTGACGGCCAACTGCTACATCTCACACCTTCCGTGAAGGATCTAGGCATACTCTCACGTTCCGATTTGAAGTCCATGGACAACACGAACATGCTACACCGAAACGGAGTGCGCATGGGCTGGGCGCTCAAGCCCAACTTCTGCGTGTGGTCTGAGGAGTTTGTCACTCGCCTCTTTTCCTTTATCATCAGACCAATGCTAGCATAGGACCCGTTCACCTATTGCCTGACCACGCGAGCGCAGGCACAGAAGATCGAACGGGCCCAACACGTGGCTACTAGGCTCGTTCCTAGTTTGCTTATTGTACGAAGGCAGATTCTAGTGGTTGGGACTATACACTCTGGCTTATCATGTAGTGCGAGTCGACCTTACCATAACCTACCGCTTTATGCATCTAGTTGACTTCTCCATACTGAGGCCACTGCGCCACTTGCGAACACCTTGCAGCACACGCCGACACCAGTACAAGATTGTGTTTGCGGATCTGAAGCTAGTTCCTCATCCTATGTGCTTTGGACGGTGAGTGGTCAATGTTTGGCCAGTTTGCCGGAGCATATCGTGGAAGCAAACTCAGTGCAGCAGTTCAACACATTATTGGATATGCGTTTCTCTGAGTGTTAGATTCCGAGAACGATTGCTTACTGACGTCTCACATTTCTCTGTCCCAATTTACTGTGTTCTACGTTATTTTTTTACCATATGATGTGAAAACTTGATAAGCGATCATTGTCTTGACAGGTCATAGATATTTTTTAGACGTATTTACTCGTAATTCGATGGAGTTTACTGATTCAAGTTTCTATTCTCTCTCTCAGCACAGTATTCAGTATTCGAGGGAGACACTTGATACGTCTCCCGGTAATATTAATACTACTACTAATAATAATACTCCATGATCAGAGTCAACGCAGGTATTCCAGAACGAGAAACAGACCAGGGTGGAACCACGGCACTTATAACCTACAGCAACTTGGTCAACTTGGGTCCATCGCTAGCCAGCTACACGGGGATGTCAAGTGCTACTTCGCCACCAACTTTGTCTGAAAGCAGTGCTACTACGAAACAGCCATTGCTCCGCGCACAGTTACAACAGACGCTCACCGTTTTCCGTCCGGTCGGAGTTAAGTCCATACTTACCACTAGTTGAGCTTCTTAGGAGCTCAGTCACCCCACTTCTGCATTCATATCCCCTGAAAGTACTATGATATCCGAACTGGTAGCACTGCGTAGCAGCGTGTTCAGTTCCTGGTAGTATGTGTTCGTGGCAGCATCAGAACTGCGGTAGGTTGGAGCATAAGCGGCAACCTCAAACAAATAGCGTATAGTACTAGTTCATGAACCATCTTTGGTTGATGTCGTCAAACAAGCTGTGCACGATCGGCTGTTCACGGGAATCCAATCAACCAATGATGACAGCCTTGGAGCTGAGATCGATGCCCATACCAGCTTGATCGTTGATTGCCGCATCAGCGTCTCCGGGTGCGTACAACCAATAGAGGGAGGACAAGCCGGATGTAGTTGCTTCAACAACCCCTTGAGGATCATTGATCCTAGTTTCAGATACGTAACACATGCCGGTACACAGTGTGTCCAAGATGCGCGCGTGTGCAGCCTGTTGACCTACTCATCTCAATGTGCGAACGTTGAACGCCGCCAGGGAAACTTGACATTTGGCCTTATAAGAGCCTTTTGGCGATTAGTGTCCAGTGAGTGGTGCTGGAAGTTATTTGCAGATGGCATGACTCCGGTGGCGTTCCGGCTGCTGGGCGTTACGCCTGGAATTATGGAATGAAGGTTACTAATGTGGGTGGTGTTCCCCACCCAGTAAAACGTTTAACCGACGTCAGGCTCATACAACTTGCCTTGCTTAGCGAGCCGAGTCTTGCGGAGTGCGGCAATGTCGATCCTGTGGTACGCGACTTTCATTACGACCAGCGCATTTCGTCGCTTGGATCGGTCACTTGGGTGTCGGTCGAGTAGGGTGCGCAAATTCCAGCACCCAATGTTGAGCGCTTTGCGCGGATGCATGCAATTTCAAACAGTCGCACGTACACTTACCTGGGTTGGAGGAAGTAGTGGGTTAGGTGAAACTGGGAGGGGGAGAGTATGTGCTGGGGAAGAAGAGAGAAGGGAGGCGTCAGTGGTCATATCTTTTCGCTTATCCACGCCGCTGTGTGCTGCAGATAAGGCGACCCTTTTCCTAAGCTCACTGCGCGACGGCCAACGCAGCATGGAATTCTCGTTGATCGCGTGATACATATTTGAGCGTTGGACTAGGTTATTGCCAGAGCGTCCACCCCTGACAGAAGATCGACCCGAGTCCCCAACAAAGCCCCGAAGGTACCGGGCCGTGCTCCGTGAGTCATTTAACCGACTCACGCGGAATTGTGTGTACAGGCTCCTAGCTATAAGCAGGATTTAACCCCACTCACACCTTGAGGCTGCCACGAAGAGGCGTCCAGAACATGAGTCCACAGCCAAACAGTGGGAGCCGCGGGTCAACAATTTGTCAGGATCTAGCCACCACAACCCACAGCTCGCTATGGACTCTGCCGCTAGATATATGTCATGAAATGGACTTGAGTAATATCGAGATCATTAGGGGGTAGTTACAAACAACACCTTAAAGGCTGACGGCTGAGACGTTGTAAATTGACAAGGCTAATAGCTACGTGAACAGAATACATTGAGTGGAGTTATCAAATGTGTGGAGGGTTGTTTTAACTTGGCCAATCTAAGGAGCGTCGGCGGATGGATATGATGCAGATAACAATCCTCAAGCCAACCGCACATCCATCACTGGCAAGGACTTAGGTCTGATAACGTGGTACAGTGAACCTCGTGGGATCTTTCCATCCTGAATTTGTCATTTGAAATGACACTATCTTACAACGTGATTAGCCGCCTACTCATTCTCGGTCGTTGTGATTATCGTCCCAGTTTGCCGTAAGCGACGCACCAATAACTCTCTTTCCACTTGGTGTGATGAAACTTTTTTGTGTCAAAAACGAAACCTTGAACTCCAATTATACCAACAAGCTGCTAACAACCCTTCTAACATCATGAATTCCCGATCGGTTTCAAGTGTCTGCGAATAAAAACAACAGAACTTGCACATCGTTGAGACGGAACCAGATGAGCGAAATTACAGTGAAATATGGGACCAGGGATGCGGATTTTGTTGGCGTTGGGAATGGTTGGAAATTGTTTATTACTAGGAATAGGCTTCGTATTATCGGCCTGATTACCATGGAGTGAATACTATTATTTCTTTTCAGAAAGATCATTGCAGGGCAGATTGTCATGCACCAATGTTTGTCAACAATGGAATGCAAGGCCTCAATACGTTTGGAGTTTTTTATTGATGTCAGAGTAGCTTCCACAATAGAACCGCGACCTGACTAGTATAGTCTTCAAAACTGGATGGACCAGTTACAGTGGGTGCGAGATGAAGGGTTCGAACGTGAATCATAAGATACATTTTTCTCCATCGTGAGCTTGTTGCTTACAAAGTTAAGCCACCGTCGGTCCTGTGTCATGCACTGAGCCGCCTGATGCGTTTACGGGTTGCTGACATTACATTTGATCTATTTTTATGCCGCTCTGTTGTAAGTTTGTGTCTCGTGGCTTCTGACAATGGTTTGAGCTGTCATCGCTTTTAGGTCCAGGCACCAGTGTTCAATTGGCTCAATACAACCATTCCCTTATGCATTAGTACATGGTGCTTCACGTCCAATGATCAACAAGTGTCGCCTTGTGGGCACATGGCTAATACGGTCACTCTGTTGAGACCTTGATCTGTGGCATCTGAACGTAACAGCTGGCCGATCATCCTTCATTACCCAATCTATCATAGAATCACGATTGATTCCACCGCATTTCCGATGAGCGAAAGCAGCGAAATGAAACTGGGCATATGTCACGCAGTTCGCCATAATTCCCCGTTAGATTCCGGGGTAGCCGATGTGGACTTTGACATACCACCTCAATATAAACCATGGCTTACTCCGAAGGCAATTTCAGCCATTTCGCCGCGTTTGACGTTCGGACATTCTGACACTAGTCTCCAGTGTGCGCTTCGCCGCAGTTTTGGGGTCAGCATTACAAAAGAACTCGCCGGCTGGCTGTGAATTTTACCTAGTTTTACTTTTTACGTTTGCATACTAACTAGTTCCCATGAAAATCATGATCAGTGACACTCTTCATTAGTAGACAATGCTGGTTTTGTTTTCTTGACATATATTCGCTCTGATGGTGCCAAACTGAGATTTGTTGATTGTCACCCGTTCTTCGTTCCCAACTAACATTTCCTCTACAGTAGTTGGTGGAAGAAGAGACTTGTTATTCGTGCATGATGCCAATTGGTTATCTTCTAATTCGGAAGGGTTCAAAGTTTTGTAAGGAGAGCCACATATTGTGAGGTAAAAATACGTCGGGCCACATTCTATCTGACATTAAGGTAATAGCAAAAATTACACATATACGAAAAAATATCCAAACGTGGATTTATTATTTTCATGATGAGGCCTCAGGCCAGTTGAAATGTTAACGCGGGCCGCATTTTGGCCCTCGGGCCGGATTTTGGACATCCCTGCTCTAGCGCAACGACATGACACGTCGTCTTTCGTCTTCTCCCTTTCTCAGCCGGTGGCTCACTTTTTTGGGGACGATCTCTCTATGCATTTGGTGCCAGAGCGGCAAATCGACTGGGTAAATGAGCGCAATCAGCCCCCACCTGGAATCCCAGTTTGCGGATTTGATGGACTGGGCTGCCAAAACAAACGTGAGTTTGTATTGTGCGGTTGTGAAAGAAACGATTAAAAGCTTCTCCACCTGCCAACCATTTTGCACGATTCCTCTCAATACCTCACTTGGTACCTTAAAAAATCCACGAGGCCAACGCCTCTCGCCTTATATTTCGTACAAATCAAACCGAGCTATTTTAACATACTGGTACTATTAGCACATCGGCAACCAGCCCGTTATTAGCGTTTCCCCTCCATCATCCGAGTGGTTTCCAGAAATTGCTCCGCATTTGCGCACCCGTGCGTTTAACAGTAGATGCAGCAAAAATCGATAGATCGCCTAACGAATGAACGCAGTTGGAGGGCTGTCCACCACCTGTCTACATGTCGCGCGCGTTTTCTGCGCATCGATGTTAGCACGTGCACGCGCACCTGGTGTTCCAGATGCTGCCGACTTTGTCGTCTGTGCGTTTTCAAGACGCTACTCCAAGCTCACTTGTCCAGTTGACGTTCATCAGGCGATCACCGAAGCATGCTGTTTGCTGGTTAGTAAAATGATAGCGATTCGCGAACCAACTGAGCGCAAGGAAGGGATGCATTTCGGATACACTGGGGGCTTCATAGGAAAATTCCTTTTTCATGTTACCGATGCATTCGGTAACAAGGAATCAGATGTGAACATGGCTTATCATGTCACGGACTTTACGATGCTAATGGCTTAAGTCTGTTTTGGGCATTGTAACCGCGTCGCCAGAGTTAGCGGTTGACAAGTATGCTGCTAGCCTTGTTGTCCTCGGACTGGTCCACAGTCAGTCTTATAAGCGTTCATTCCTGCGATTTTACTTAAACTCATGGTGACTTGACTAACTCGGATAGGTTTCGTATATTTTGGCGGGCACCAAATCTGAATGGTAAAAAACCCATCGGAAGCTGATGCGTTGTCCGCAGGGATGATTCTAGCCTCCAAAACCGAGGGCATATGAATGAGAAGCTGTTGACTGAGGTACATCCATTCAGTATTTCTGCCTCTCACATACATTAGAAACTGGTACTGAAACTTTACGAACGGAGTTCGCGGTGCTGCCGCCTTCATTATCAGCACTTTACACGTTAGCTAGGGGTGGAAAACATCTCAGCTATTGTGTTGCAATACATAAGAAAAACGGAAGGAAATGCTTGCATCAGAGACAAACCATCTGAACCTCCGATAACGGATTGGCATCGTTCCCGAGAGCTACCAACGGGCTATTGTGCCGCAAAAAAGCTTGCTATTATGCCTAGGGAGTGGGATCCTGGTTGGGTGGAGGCTAAGCGGAAGGGGAGGGACAAAGAAACTCATAACACAAAGTCACTGAGGCCGGCTTCTAACCATGTCAACAAGTGTATCCAGCCGAACGTGCTAATGGTCTTTCGGACCCAAACCAGGGAATCTGGAGGCTCCAACCGAGACCAATGTCGAAGCGTGAGACTTCATTCCTCATGACTAAGTCATCGCTTGGCCACCCTTCTTCAACGGCGAACGCTGATCATTCCCAGCGAGTACCTACCACACCTTCTGATAAGTGGTCTTCCTGAACTGTGTCGTGGCACCGGCATCACATGGCGTTCACAGACGAGTTGCCAGCTCCTTCACCTCTAATGCATCTCAGCAAGACTTTTCTATCCATACGATAGTCGATTACAGATTGATATTTTCGAATTTCTCACGTGACAAATGACCTTGTACCCCTACAACTTTGGAGGGACGACCAAAGTAACTCGATATCTTTCTCGCTCTTCAAACCCTCTTTCAGCATGCCAATGGGCACGTTTAGCCCTCCTGGATGATTAGGCGTATGCCGGTTTGTATTTCACTACTCAAATCCTCCCTACTCAACAGTGCTGCAATTTTAAGACCATCATTCTTACCACCACGGCAGACCTCTGTGATTTGAGTAATCACGGTGTGGTTTCGATTCTCACATGACAGGAATAGAACACGGTGAGATTATGACTACATCTGCCGGAATAACATAGTAAACGACTGCAGTAACTAATCTAAGCTTCCTTTGATATGCTTTGTCAGATTTCCGGGATAGTATTCATATCAACGGAAACGTTCCGGATGGCATGCACTAGAATTTCCTCCCAGCCAGTGAGGATTACATGGTTTCACTTGTCCATCATAAAACACATGAATGATAATCTATGGGCTGACAATAATCATCGCAACCAGTAACGATGACAACAGTAAATCTCTTTTAGTTTCTGTGCATCGAACACCTGTTTGCTTTTTTACTGGACTATGGAGAATGCTGCTAACAACCCAAAAACTTTTTTCCCTTTGTCTTTTCAGAAATTCTCATCGTTAGCGCTGTTAGCGCTGTGCTGTTTTGTGTTTTCGCTGTGGTTGCCATCATTCTGGGAATCTATTTCTATAGGTGAGTAGTTCGGAAGCAGGCATAAGCTTCTCGAACCTTCCTTTGTATCTGCTCCCTCGTCTGTGTTTGGTCTCCGTGTGCGTTTTCAAATGATGCCCACAATTCGCTATTCACACAACGGTAGTGATGGTAAAGCTGAACAACATTTCTTCTCTCGAGCATAGATTAGATATTTGTCTTCCAGTTATCATACGCATTGAAGCAAAAAAGTATATGAGTTTGCAGAAAAATATCCAACTGTGTTCAGCCTTACCGTGTAAGTTAACCAGATGTTGACCTGACTACGTTCGCAGCGGACCTAACCTAATCTTTACGCTAGCTGCTTTAACCATAATGTCACACAACGTTTAACGTCCCCAAGGAAATATGGGGCAACGGGTCTTTGACCCAATTCCATAAGCTTCTATGGCAATTTTCCCACTTACGATTACTACCCGCTGCGGCACATGCAGTCTGTTTCGCCGATTCGAAACTTGCTGACGACGCACCAGTTGGTGACGGGAGAGCACGATGCGCTCTACTTTTCAACCCCATAATGCATCTTGCCACAAAGGTAAATGATTCTGACTGAACTCCATGAGATTCCATCCACAGCTATTCTTTTGAATGTTAATTGGTGTCACTCTATTGAACGAGCAGCGCTGGGATCATTCTGTTTGGGATAATTTGGCACTTTCTGTCGCAACCAAATTGAGTACCTTACCTATCCATCAAGCCATACTGGTTAATGCTCTCTATCCCTTAGAGTGCTACTCGTACCACATTGTTCAGAGACTTGAGATCAGACGAACTCAGCCGCCTAGCCCACCAAGTCGGGTGTTGAAATTGGTGTGACACCCATTTGCAAATCCCGGATTGTTACCATCTTCCCACTGCCTTACGGTCAGGCTTTCGAATCAAAGGCTTTGATCCAAGGCCCTATTCTCTTGCCTAGTTTCGGGTATCTTGACATTGTCACACTTTCACGTACAGCCGTGAGTTTCTCGTCAAACCAAATAAATCCTGCCTCCACCATCGGTACGTTTCCAAAGGATCGCCTTCTTTGCTTCATAGAGAAGTAAGACTGTGCACCGAGCCGAGCTTCACGACTAGCAGTCATACCCAGGCTAGGGATATAGAGAGGTCGTTCAAACCTAGGCAACTTTGCGCCGGTGATTTTCGGGTTTCCGACTGAATACCTCATGCCTTTGCTCACCGGCCAACACTGCATACAGTGAAGCGGATACGTGGAACATGTTACTGCTGATGCCTCCTTTCCTCATTTCCCATATGTTGCTGCTGAATCCCTCCCAACCAGTAATACCAACCTGCTTCCTGCAATTCCCAGCCTACTTGACGGTGGCTGAAGTACCGCTTAAGTTCTATCACCTATGACTGTATTCCAACAGTACTCACTAGCTTGCAGTCATCAACAGCCCCTTATCACGTCACGCTGACCTGTTTTACGTGTTCGAACTCCAGGACAGTAGATCAAAAGGCTGCACTTGTATGTCCATTGAACAACTCGTGTCGACTAGTGCTGCATGTCTGAAACGAGGAGAAACGACCTCGCACGGTTACCGAACCAACGGCACTTGGATCGTCCTCTCCCTATCGGTTACACGCAGCCGGAGACGCTGATGCAGCAACTACAACTCAAGCTGAGATAGGAATGGTCCTTAACCTCAGGGCTGAGTCAACACAATTTCACATGGTTCCCGCGAGCATCTGTCTGTGTGCAGAACCTTGATGACACCAGCCAAGGTTAACGCACGGAGCAGCGCTAAATGCAATTTGTTTGTTGTTGCTGTTTGGGTCCACACTAGTCGCGGTCCTGACGCTGTCATGGACACCTACCACCAAATCAATAAACCACTTCGCAGCACCGAAAGTTAACTTACAGTTATAGTTTCAGTGCACATGAATGCACCGGTTGGTCGTCCGATCTCCTCTGAAGTTCAGATAGGTGGGAAGTTTGAGCTTATCTAGGAACGCACAGTCAATGGCAAGCTTGGAAGTCAGAGGGAGCCAGATTTGGTGTGTAGGGTGGGCGGGGAAGGTGCTGGAAGCCTCAATATTGGATTGTTTTCTGAGCAGTGGAAGAGGTGTGGGCTGGAATATTATCGTTGTGGAAACTGGCGTCTCTCTTCCTTATTCCCGACCTATCTTCTCGGACTTTTTCTGTGAGGTTTCAGGAGCTCTCAGTACCATTTTCCGCTGATGGTGTGGCCTATTCCAAGGCAATCAACCATCACCACACATCGGAAATCCAAAAAACTGGTGCCATCACCTTGTCAGCTGACGGTGTGAATTTGGCTTCTTTGACCTAGGAGATGATGCACGCTTCCACTGCTTTGGGTGTCCTTTTCTTTCTGATTGAATCCGATGAACTCAACACCTCCATAGTAATGAATCATGCGACAAATCATCGGCATCTGCCTCAAACAGTGCCAAATGGTACTTTGACATCACATGCAGAATACGCTTCTGCCCAGGAGTCAGAAGATGTGACACCCTGAGAGCAGAAACTTTTGGGTAGCCTAGCTCCTTTGTCAGGATATTATCTGCTCGCTCCTGGGAGATGCCCAACCTTTCTGCCACCTGATGAGTTGTTAATCGGCGATCTTGCATGATGATATCCACTAGTAGGTAATGATATTCCTTCGTGGTGGCAGTTGTTGATCTCGCTGAACTGGGCTCACTCAATAATATCCATGGCGTGCTTCAACTCTTCCATCCAACGCTTAACTGGGGCATATGAAGGGGTATTGAGCATATCTTGGTGGATTTCAGATGGTGACAGTTCTTTGAGATGGAAATACTTAATCTCTGTACGATGCTCCAAGTTCTCTATTTTCACAAAATTACAAACGCTGTTCACTCCAATAATCTGCTGAAATGAATGTAAAAGAAGTAGAAATATGGATTTGCATAAAATGAATAAAGAAAGATGGTCGATCACAAAAAAACGATATTTGGTTTGCCTGGCTATCTGATTTCTGTGCCAGGCTCAAAACTTCTCATTCAGCCCACGTATTTAGTCTGGGAAAAGAGGTACACGCTGACAAATAACTCGGCCAACCCCGAGTATACGCACTAAGTGATTTATTGACGTTACCACCACAAGTCACAATTTCTTTCCGGACATTTACAAAAATCATCATTAGACTACTGAAACTACATCCATCGTACTGAACTCTACCCGTTCGTCACACAAGCCGTGTAACTTACTGGCGAACCAGGGCATCATAACCCGAGATCTTTACCGGAAAAGTTCATTGTTGCAGTGGTTCAAATTGTCTTCCAATCGGAGGTTTGTTCCATTTATGTTCTTCTGAAGTAGCTACACACAGCTTACACCACTGATTTTCTGTCAGTCGAACAATCAACCATCTTGTTGTACTCAAAGATCCGATGCGGTGAATCGTCCCCCCTCCTCGCCGCCACATAACTTATGGGCCGAGCTTGTCCATGCGGCATCTGAAGCGGCGTTGTTTTGGACTATAGCAAGCTCCTCGCCATTGTTCTCTACTATAAACTCAGTGAGCGATGTTTTATTGCATTCACGATGGAAATATCGCTGCCTGCAGTTGATTGGAGTCCTTTATTCTCCTAACATCAATCTCAGTGGCCAATTAACCCAACCTACTGGCCTACAATTCTGATAGTGACGGTCTCGTATCTAGTTTTCACCAAATCTGAACAACGTGACTGATATTTCCATTCCAGATACTGTCCTCGAGATCGGAATGACCGAGGTTTACCTCACAGTGAACCGAGATCCTTATAGAGTTTGCGATTTGCAACCCAACCACAGCGTGTCCTCTAAATTCAGCTTTAAATTGCTTTCCGCTGGGCCAAGCGTTGCTCGCGGAGCTCAGTAGCATAGTGTTCAGGACGTCAGCCGTGAACTACTAGGCTCTGAATTCCACCCCAGCTCAGGCTAGCTTCACCTGATGAGTCCGAGCCAGGATGAAACCACAGTCGTGGTGTGCCAGTGTTGTGAAGAGCAACACCCAAATATTTCCAACATGACTGATGGTTTCCGTGAGCACAGGGCATCATCAGATTAAAGCAAATCGAGACAAGTTAGCAGTATTCTGAAACATCGGTTCCCGTGTAAAACACTTTATCCTTGTTCCAAAGCCCCCCATCTCTCAGCCCCACTGCACTCACTCCTGCTCCATTTTTTACACGAACCGGTTTGTTATTGATCGTTGCATTGTTTCATCAAATCGTCCCGCTACTGTGAACACACTTCTTCCCAATCAACTGCTGAAGCGAGATAAGCTGACTCAATTCGTACTTGAGCATCTCGTGCCCGGTTCACACCAAAATGTTGCTTTAGGGCGACAAACCATCGAACTCCTCTTTTCGTATCGATTCCACTACCCGTTTTCGTCCGGTTTCCCTAGATTAACCGTGAGTGAATAGAAAATGGACGTTCTGACTTTGTTTCGCCCGGTTCCCTCGTCGTTCCTTTGGTCGCTGGGATTTCGCCTCCATGGGGATCCGTCATGGCGTGACTGATCGTTAATCAGATCGAAGTGGGTCGGGCGCGCCACAGACACGGTTAAGTGGTGCGATACGGTTTAGCTGCGTCACCTGATAGCAACGCACCATCGTTAGTTGACTTTGAATCTCGTTAATCGTATTGTGGCTGTAGCTGTTGAATTTCCCACATTGCATTCGAAGTCTCTCATGCATATGGCACCTTAGGACCCCTTGCCAACCCGTCGTGTAACATCCTGACCTTAGCGATTACAGTTTCCTGCAGCTCAGGGAACCCTTTTTGAAAGATATGGTGTTTACCCTGCACTTCTGACTCATCAACTATTTCCGCCTATCTACTAAACACTGGATGTAACAGTCCCATCTGTCGTTTCTATCTTGTGCAGTTAGCTGTGAACGGGGGGGGGGGTTCACTTGCCATGTTTGCAAGGACCATGACCACTTACTCGATATTTATTATCTTTTCATTTTTTTCTCTACATATAATGGTTTTTTAAACTGTGTCCACTACACGACGCTGCCGGGTCGGTTGTACCGGGATGTTTTGCTTTCATTTCTACAAACCACTCTGAAAACACTGCAATATACGTGACTCAGTTCTCCGTACGACTGCAATTCATCATGTATACAGAATCGGGTGCATGAGAAATTTTACGTTGCGCGTCAATCGTTACACTTGTACTCGAGCGCTAGTCACGAATGTTGGGGTATTCTACTTCTATTTCAGAATTTGGTGCGTTTTTACTTCTTAGTCGCTATGCCAAAGGTTATAACATGAGTTTTCTAATTTTGTCACCTTGGTGATGCTCCATTTTTATACTATGCTTCTGTGTGATGCACATTTCAGGCGAGCCGAACTGCACGCGATAAGTTGGATTATCGATTGGTCTGACATAAAGTTCCCGGACACAGTTCCATCGAATATTCCATTATTATCAGATGAAGACGATGTGCCACACACCACCGGGCTCTCTTCAGTTGACATCCCCACAACCACCACAACCCCAGATCAGCGCCCCCTTGATGGTTCCGGTAAGACGTTTGCTCAGTTCGATTCCGTCCACTATTTGCCATATCGAGTGACACATCATCGGCATAGACGCACCTCGGCGATGGGCAAACATTTCTGCGGGAGTGGACCTGATGATTCCCGGGACGAACGGAATCAAACCAACGAGAATCGCAAGCCACAACCAAAGTCCTCTCCCGATTCATACTTTTTCGACGAATTGCCAGTTTCAGAGGAGAGTACGATCACATCGAGCACGCTGCGCCGTTTTCAGCAACGGTGGGCTCGAAGAAGCCGATTGAGCGAGGGCCAGCCTGCTCTTGCCTTAAACGAAGCCAACATTCCTATGTTGAATCACCGGACTAGTCCAGGACAAAACGAACCTTTATACATCAAAAGCCCATCTTTCGACTACGAATCAGTCACACGAAAGCATCACCAGTACGTTAGTGGAGCCAAAACGGAAAAATGCAATGTACGTAACCATCTTTTCAATCCAATTTTGTTTACATACTTTAGTCTCTTCTTCATGCAGTACCATAAGAACGGAGAAGGTGCTTATTCGGATACTATGTGAGCCTGACGTTACTGAGCGGAAGATAACAGCTGCCAGACTACCCTAGTTGGACACCTCAGCGGTTTCGTATTGCTTGGGCATACCGCCTGGTGAACGTAACCCTAGTAGCACCTATCCCTTAAATTGAATGATCAAGCTTTATCTCCATTTCGCTGAGTCATTTGGGCGCGTCATTCGGCATTCATATGGTAAACATCGAATTCTAACGAACACGGCAGATGCAAATATGCTCGGTGGTGTCTATATGGTCTGAAATACATTTATTGAATTTTAATCTCTGGTGTTACCCTACTACTGTTTGGTCACATCCCCAGTTCCATCTCATTAACATCGTACCGTGATTTTTTTAGCTGTACTAGTTACGCTGTATGACGTTCATTTCTGCATCCTTTTGCCAATGAATCTAAACCGTCCTCCCCCCTTTAAACAGAACATATGACCGTCTAAGGAGAGTGGGGCAAAGCACAACTTGTTGTTTACTTAACTCAGTTCTAATCCACCATTGGAAGCAACAGTCTTGCAAAAGCGCCTTCCACGGTACACCATCAGTTACACATACCCAGCTGTTACCAACCAATTGGGTTCAAACTGATCTCTCTCCCGCTCCTTCAGGTATCCGAGTCCTCAACGGATCGTTCCATGTTCACGCACGTGTAGCATAACCCTTATGCCATATGTACACGCGCGTTGCAGTGGGTGTTGGTCTAAGCCACCAAATAGACAGGTGTCATGCTTGGGCGAAGCAACACCGAACCACTTACAAAAGCGACAGATAACACACGGGAACCGACGGTGTTTTTTGAGGAATATCTCGTCACTTACGATATATCGAATGCACCATCTCGTCTGAACGAATGCTGTGCCACTCGTTAAACAGCGATCCGAGAGATGGAATGACACAGCAGCGCCGCTTCGACGACTCTACATTCACAAACTGATGCAGTGTCTTGAGCCACGTTCGGAATTAGACGCGGCATGAGGAACCAACTGTGTTCATTGCTAGATGGTACCGGCCCTGACCTCTGGAGCTACACTAAAAGCTAGGTGGAGTACTATGCATATTAACTTTTTTAGCAATCTGTTATAAAGGGTCACTTTCTGATACTGTTATGCTCAACGCGGTTTGCCCATTTTGCAGTTGTGAGTGTGCACTTGCAGCAAGTAAATTGGGTGTCTTAATATTGATTGAAGGCTTCTAAACTCCGCATCCCTCATTTGCTTGCAGCCAGATCTACAGCAGTCGACAGTGATTGCGAGTAAGCCACATGCTGTAGATGGAGGCAGGTTGTATAGTGAAAATACAAATTTCACTGGATAGTATTCATCCGAGACAGATTCATTACGGTTATGGGTTAACCTGTTTCAAACACACGCCAGAGGATCCACTAGTATGAAAACGCTCGAGTGCAGTAGGCAATCCGAAAAGGCTGAATTGCTGTGGCGGTGAACCTGGAAGCCACTCGGTACCTAGCAAGCAGTAAAGGCTGGAGCCCGTCGTAAATTAAAACCCCAACCTTCAAGACAGCAACAAGGGACGACATTTCAACAGGATACTCTGAATTCAGATATTCCCGGTATTATCCTCAGCTGTTACCATACAATCCGTGGAGAAACAGTGTCACGTTTAAAAGGAAACCTTGTTCAAGGTCACTCGTTTTACACTTAAGACGATCAACACATCGTACTGAGACAATGCGACGTTGGTCATTAACTCAGTCTATTTGCACAAATTGTATGTCGGTCGCCGAATGGCCCAAACTTCAGCAATTTGTAGCAGGCGAGTATTGTTCTCAGTTAACTTTGCTGAATGATTCGCGGGGATTTTGCTATCTAGAGCAATCTAGGATGAGGTGAGCAGTGGAGGTAACCGGCAGGTTTGGAACTATTCACGAGGATATTGATTGGAATGCGCTCTGAAATCCTAGTCGACAGTCTACTCTCAGTTCGGCTCACCTACTTGTTGCCACAAGTACAATGAACGAGTTAAACGCCAACCAACTGGGAAATGGCAAATCACAGGCTGGCAGTGATAATTACGAGCATGCACCTTAGCATGCGAGAGTAGCAGACAGCCGGACTTATAATGTTGCAGAGAACCCGATGGTACACATCAATAATACTCATCTCGGAATCATAAAATTGTGTGTGATAATCCCGTAGGGCGCGAGCTCTCACCTCATTGGCAAAACGTCTGTAAACCTCGGAATCAGGTCTGCGCAACACGAAAGTCATGAGAGAGCGGTAGGCTTCACGCGCGTTCTCATTCTCCTCGGCTGAGGCGTTTTCCTGATACCACGGTCGTTCGATCCGATCAGTGCTAAAAGACAAAGCGAATGCGATTAATTGTGTTGTGTGAGAATGCGAATTTGTTCGGATAAACATTTGAGGTAAAACGAAATCAAACAACAGCCCAGCATAAAAGGACGAAACGCGGCCGTAAGCTCTTCACTGGGAAGCCGTGTTGCAAATAGGCGGTCGACCATCTAAGACCTTAGTACCAATCACTGCTGTGCATTGCATAGGGATCGTCACCTTTTGGCAGACGAATGGAACTGTATGTTTGCTGCACTGACTGAAGACCGTGTGAAGGAATTGGGGGCTTTTCGGCAACTATCTACGCAGGTTGAGATAATGCTTGGTATCAGAACCCTGGAGTCACGTGAGCACTAGTTTCCTCGGTGACCATCGATTGACTTTGATGAGTCGATCTCATTCCCCATGCGTAACGAAGAGCCACCTATTCAAAAGTCCATGGGGGTAGTTCTTGAGCTCCGAGAGCAACTTTATATTTGTGTACTGAACCATTGACAACGGCACGGATCTAGGTATAGTTACCTGAAACGCGTTTTCTCTCATTTTGCCGTCGGTTCAAGTGGAAAGGGGTAGGTTTTGCTGATATAATGTGTTCATTAATGTTGCATATAAGCTCCATCACCACACGCTGCTTCTGACTCCTTTGAATTGGATGTACATACGTGGATTCGCAGTTATAAATTTTGTGCTGAAATACTTCATTGGGGACATCCGGCTTGCTTTCCACAACGCCTCAGCCTCGTGCACTACAGTTCCAGTTTTAACGTATCGCGTTAGCTATGCTAGTACGTCGGTTTGCAGGGTTTCAGAAACATTCGTTGCAGCATTCGTGATGATACTTGTTCACGTGCCCGTATGGAGGACCGAAAAATAAACACGCTGGCAGGATCTATAAGATTGGAGACTTTGGTGTTCGAACCATTAAGTGGAATGTTTAGCAGATCGGAGTAACATGTTGTAGGCTACTAAATTCTCCATTGGGTTTTTACGCGCCATTTCAAGTCGCCAAGTGAGGCTTTTCTGTATCTAGTCTGTGGTTGTGGGGTTACATAACAAAACTCGAAGTTCCGCATTCAATTATTTATAGTTTGTTAATCATGGGTACAGCATGACTCATTCGCCGTGTTTGGCAGCAGCCAGATAAATTCTCATCAAGCCATACGGATGGGTGCATGTGAGTGACATGCGAGGAATGTGACACAAACTTCGAAGGAGGTGCAAGTCTAAAGGCAGCAAACGGGATGTATTCGAACTCGGTCCATTGTGTCATACAGAAGAAAAAGATGGGCGAAGAAGTGTAGACGCTTGCTACCATGAACTCGCAGATCAGTTTTGTGCTTGTCACTGTGGAAGCAGCGGTAACACCGTGTCCCCGCACGTATATAGGGCAACAAGTCTGCGATTAGAGACCTCCGGTTACTTATTCCGTGTCGCGTTGTCGGGATACTATCTTGTGGGTTTATTGGCGCACTGATATTACTTTGTGGCAATTTCGGCATAGTCCAGTTTCATTTCTGAATCTACAAGTTCGTAATCATATTTTGTGAGTTATCTTTCCGCACATTTCGAACTCGCATTTTTCTAATTCTTCAATATTTTCCCAAAATACCGGATAAATCATCTCGTGGTTCCTGTTCTAGCATTCCTGGGAACACGGCAAATGTCCTTGCGTGCTTTACTTGCTGTGCTAGGTTTCAGGATTCCTGCCGATCCCTATCGTCTTTTGCGTTCTATTCAACATGATTTCATCCGAATTTTGTGAAACGATTGTTACCATCTAAGGCTGCCAAGGAAGCATATTAGGTATACCAATATATGTCGCGAACAAAAGCACTTAACTACGAGCAGTTCTAGACATATTGTCAAACAAACTGATCTCGATTCCATCCAAAGTTCAACCCAACCTTCTTCCTAGTATCGTTTGCCGGCCTAATTTCTCCAGAGGCACCGCTGGATAAATGTTTGATAGCTTAGAGGCCATGGGAAACTCAACGACCGAAAAATCCGCGAAACACAGGGACGCTTCCCGCTACTGACCAACAGCAAGCCAGATCAAGCAATGCTCGAGGTCACCATCCTTCTGCAGGAACCACTTCCAATGGTATAATGCGAGCAAATCTTATGATTTATCGGTCGTCTGAGTCCAGCGATCCAAGCCCTCAGACAAGCTATAGTCATAACGTAGCGCTTTTACACAGCCTCGTTGATAAGCTCTTCGATGTGGGCGAGGTAGGAGTGCAAGTGAGGCAAGTCATCCCCGTCGACAAGAACACGGTTGAGACGGACCAACCTATGCGGGTAACTTTTGACGACGAGGCCAGTCCATAGCTAATACTGTCTCGGCTGAGTAGATTGACAGTCGGTAGGTTGCATATTCGTCCGGATATGTATCCAGCTGACCTGCAGCGCATCAAGTGTACCATCAACGAGCATAAGCGGCGAATCGGTGAGGGAAAAACAAACCTATGTATCGTAAAGTTTCGGTATGTTACAATACAATGCGAATTCAAATAAATCGGTCGCTCACTCTTCAGGTCGCTCGGTAGTTCTTACCGCAGCCTGCTTGCAGCCTTTACTAAGGTGTG